GTCAGGCGAGTAGTAACACTCACCTCTGACGTAAGCTGGCGTCAGGCGAGTAGTAACACTCACCTCTGACGTAAACTGGCGTCAGGCGAGTAGTAACACTCACCTCTGACGTAAGCTGGCGTCAGGCGAGTAGTAACACTCACCTCTGACGTAAGCTGGCGTCAGGCGAGTATTAACACTCACCTCTGACGTAAGCTGGCGTCAGGCGAGTAGTAACACTCACCTCTGACGTAAGCTGGCGTCAGGCGAGTAGTAACACTCACCTCTGACGTAAGCTGGCGTCAGGCGAGTAGTAACACTCACCTCTGACGTAAGCTGGCGTCAGGCGAGTAGTAACACTCACCTCTGACGTAAGCTGGCGTCAGGCGAGTAGTAACACTCACCTCTGACGTAAGCTGGCGTCAGGCGAGTAGTAACACTCACCTCTGACGTAAGCTGGCGTCAGCGAGTAGTAACACTCACCTCTGACGTAAGCTGGCGTCAGGCGAGTAGTAACACTCACCTCTGACGTAAGCTGGCGTCAGGCGAATAGTAACACTCACCTCTGACGTAAGCTGGCGTCAGGCGAGTAGTAACACTCACCTCTGACGTAAGCTCGCATCAGGCGATAGTAACACTCACCCTCTTGACGTAAGCTGCCTCAGGCGAGTAGTAACACTCACCTCTGACGTAAGCTGGCGTCAGGCGAGTAGTAACACTCACCTCGACGTAAAGCTGGCTCGGCCCAAATATAACACTCACCTCTGCTAACTGGGGTCAGGCCAGTAGAACACTCACCTCTGACGTAAGCGCGTTCACGAGTTAAATAACACTCACCCTCAGTAACTGGCGTCAGCATAGTAACACTCACCTCTGACGTAAGCTGGTCAGGCGAGTAGTAACACCCCACCTCGACGTAAGCTCGTCAGGGAGTAAATAACACTCACCTCTGACGTAAGCTGGCGTCAGGGGCAGTAGTAACACGCACCACCTCTGACGAAACTGGGTCAGGCTGTAGTAACACTCACCTCTGACGTAAGCTGGCTCAGGCAGTAGTAACACCACCTCTGACGTAAGCTGGCGTCCCGGCGAGTAGTAACACTCACCTCTGACGAAGCTTGGGGATCGGCGAAATAAATAACCCCTCACCTCTGACGTAAGCCCCGCGTCAGGCGAGAAAATAACACTCACCTCTGACGTACCGGCGCCGCGATGTAACACCCCTTGAACCCCAGGGGGGGGTAAACTAACTGGCTCAGGGAGTAGTAACACCACCTCTGACGTAAGCTCGTCAGGCGATAGTAACCCCACCTCTACGCCTGGTG